TGGTGAGCAGTTTTAATTTGTGAGCAAAGGAACTGGGCAGCGCCTCTCTAGTTGAACTTCAATTTATTTGATTAACTCTAGACCTCTCACAAACCCCTCTGTGTGTGCGCAAAGTTGAAAAACGACCTGCTGTGACTCGTATGACCCTGCACAAAGTATGATAAACATGTTACGGACCATTATAGTAAACGAACGTATCCCTTAAAACTGGGGAAACATAAGTGTAAACTTTCTCACGAGCTGATGGTTAAATTGTGAATTGTGCTCGCATCCCTGGTACAGGCTAATGTTACCAGCCAAGCATATTAACCAGCTCTCCTGAAAAATGTTACAGCACGGCCTAATTATTGCAATATTCATCACTTTACCAGCCTATCGACAGAATCTATAGGACCGCATGAAAATGTTAGGCAGCGGGAAAAGAGGGAACATGAAGACACAACAGACACAAATGCTGTTAACCATAACCACCAATATGTCTATAATATGTCTCTTTTTTTTTATCTTCACCAACGTCATTTACCTTAAGCAGTTTATTTCCCCATAAAATTAGCCAAGCAGACATGTGATGTTAATAAAATGCCTATTACCAACATACTATTTATTCACTCACCTCAATATTCAAAGGACTGGGACCTGCAGCTGCTGTGACTGTCCTCCTGTTGTCGGCACCGGGAGAACAACGTCTGGCACTGCATCAGGTTTTAGCTTGGCCAATTTAGAAAATCCCAGTTCTACTTCCATGATGTTGGAAAGACAATCTTTGGAGAAGTGATGGTTGCACTACCAAGCTGTAGGCGGGAGATTACGGTCTGGTATCCCCAAAGCAGGCAGCCACTGGCGCCTAATTTCCAGGTCTGCAGCCAGGGCAGACACTGCCGACCCATCCTGGTCACTATCTAACAAATACTCTAAAAACTAAATGCTAAATCAAACAACTAACTAAGTTTCCTAAAAGTCACTGTGCTAAACTGGCAAAAGCTAACCTACAATTACTAATAACTAATTAATATTGATAAGATCTAACAACCAATCTACTGCCTACAACCTCCAACTAACTTTGTAAATACTATAAACTCACAACTCTACAATCTACACTAAATTAATATATACTAACAGCACAATCCAACTACTAAACCACTAAGCTATTGATCTGAGCTCTCTCAATCCACTTGACTCCCAACAGTTTGCCGTCAAGTCACCTGAGGAGGCTTTTATAGGTTTGGTGACGTAGGCATGTACTCCTACGTAGGCATGTACTCCACACAGCAATCGGAAGGGCAGTCACTATGCACATTTCTAACACAATATTTCGAATTTGGACGGTTGTTGACAGTCAGAATGCAGACTGGACCTAGGCCTATATTCAGGTGATGTTGGACTAAAGTAAGTAAAAATTAGCTTTCGACTTCCACAAAGCCGGAATTATATTTCATGAAGTCAGTCAGAGAAAAATGTCGGTGCTCGATTTCCCAGGTGGATTTGCTTGACGTCATCATATATAGAAATTGCAAGCCCTCTTTTGACTGGATCATAAATGACTTTAAACTTTATTTGTTATCTTTGAAAAAAGTAAAATTGCAAGTTTTGCAAATTGTCTGTAACTTCTTGAATTTTGGGAACATAAACCATGCCTCACATCACCTGTCCTCATGTCAAATTGTTAACCTGTCTGTCTTTCTGTCAACAAGCTGTCAAGTTGTGATGACAGCACAACATGACAGTATAGCAAAGGAAGTCACAAAGTGAGATGATCTGTCATTGAAAAGACGAGGCCCTATTGTTTCACACAATAAGTTTTTATAAACGGTTATTGAAACATCGTTGAATCAATTTCAGATAAACCTAAATTTCATTGAATCAACATCAGAATCTAATGTCTATTCTTCATCACTGCAGCAGCCTCAGTTAAAATGAATTTGTGAAAGTAATGCACACACTGCGTTATCCCACTGTCATCTAGCAATCTATTAACGCATTTGCATCTTTCAGTAGACATTTGACTGTAAGTATTTAGTAAACTTTATAGCCTACATAGGCTACCATTAATATGATCAAACTGTACTAAGGGCTGATTGCATTTAATGTAAGACAATGTGAAAAACTATTACGGTTAAGAAATATTCGATCTGTGCAATATTAAAAAATAACATAAAAATGTATCCTTGTCTGATATAGAGAGATCTATCACTAAGTAATCTCCCACTTGACTATAAATCCATAACTTTTTTATTGCAATTCGACATCTCCAGGTCAACTAACTAATTATCAATTCATTTTAATTTTCTTTTAGAACCACGACTCTGTCTTGCTTGACCTTTATGGTCAGCTGTCAAATAATTCAGGCTAGTGGTGAGGACATAAACCTCTTGTCGCAACCTAAACACAGAATAAAGAGAATCACTCCAAGACTCTACTGACAGAAAGGCAGATTGTTAATGACAGATGGACCAACACACAGAAAGATACTGACTGCTGTATGTTGATGACTTCTGGTTGGCTGCAGTTACTTGATGTTTTAAAAAAAAATCACCTGCAAGGCTCTTCTAGAATAACAGGATTTGCATGAAATTCCTGAACCACATGGCATTTGTGAGTTACATCGGCCACCTTGACATTTTTGGTACACTTACTACTGCTGGCCAATGGATGACAGTGTATGGGCTGACTTGCTAAAGTTCACTGGAGTGGCTGCTGTGAAACCATTCCATCAAAACCTGTGCACTTAGGAGAAACCAGCTTTTGAATAGCTGTCCACTGTAGTGACCATTATGTGTGAAAGGGTTAATGAACCACAAAATCATTGACGGTGCCTAAATGCTCTACCGTAAATATAAGGTGTAGACCTATGGTGTAGACGCGCAATCGATTTTTATTAGATGGAGAGGACAGCGCGACTGCATAGGCTATATCTCCGAAACGTAGAGGGATTGGTTATAGAGCCATATATGGATTAGTGTGAAAAGTCATAGCCTATCTAGCAATAGTAGCCTATATTTTTCTTGAACAGAGAACAGACGATAAATCAGTGGAGTCGGAAGCGGGCGAGTCAACGCAACATAGTCGTTCCTTTGACATTGGACTCAGTTTGAAGACTTTCGTAGTGTTTTGGTATATTTTCGCTGGCGTAGCCTACATGCATTTCCCCCTAGGCTACACATACAAAGATTTTATGAAAGTCAATTGTGCCAGTTAAAACAGGTTAACTGTAGATTCAGAAAGTTAGGCTATTGTAATATTTTGGTAGCCTAATTCGGCTGTTGTGTAACCCTGACAACTAGCCGTAAAAGTGAACCGAAAAAAGGAGAAACTTAAATAGCCTGAGTCAAAGTGTATGCCAAGTTTTTCAAAACACCACAACAGCTTTAGCCTAACTGGATAGATGTTACGATGTAAACGCGTCTCGGCTGTGTATTATGCACATTCATTTAGCCTGTCACTGAAAACGCTGGGTCGGCTTTTTCACCAACCACTGAGCGGACTGTCAGAGAGCCATGTCTGCTCTGGTATTAGTTAGTGTACAAAAAACTAGGCTACGGGTATGAGCTTATGAGCACTTTGTGTATTGTTTTCTCTGTATTGACTGTGCCTTTTTGCTTTTCTATCTGTTAGGCTACTATTCCGGAGTGGGACGTCCCATAATCCCCCCTGAAGATTGATCAGACAGCGACACCTCGTGGCAGTTTGATGGGACTGCAAGTACTATTTTGAACACAAAAGAGCAAGGAAACGGTTTCTCAAAATAATAATAATATAAAGACAAAATAATAGCATTAATGGTATATTTGAACCGACATATAATCAGATACAGATGTTACATTTTCAGAAGCAGCAAGCAGACCAAAAGAATAGAATAAGATTTTTTGATTCAGTCCAGATCCTCTGTTGTTACAGAGGCATTTAGCAGCAGACCAAAAAGACATGTTTGCTGGTTATTTTAAACCATATGGGAGGATTTAAAGTGAACACAGCTCCTGGTTGAAGTTTAGATGAGTCTTCTTTTGTTTCTGTTGTTTTTTAAGCAGGATCCAGGATCGCAGCAGGTTTTCTCTGCTGCGAAAGTGTTTCTCAACTCTTCCGGTTTTGAAGAATGACGTAAGCCAAACCAGAGCAAACTGGCTCTGCATCTCATGTCGCTCTCTGTCTTTCTCTCACTCCCTCTCTCTACCCACTCCCTGATCTCCCATAGTGTCTCTCTACCAACACACTCTGACCCCAACCAACCCCCACCGACCCCTGAGGGGCCAGAGAGTGTCCTGGAGGACTGCCAGAGGAGGGGCCTAGTCAGCCTTTTGTTCCCGCTTGCACAGCCATCCAATCCCTATCGTCTGACGTAGACCTAATGTGCCTAAATTTCCCATCATGCCCTCGTAACACTGATGATGTCCAAAAGAACCACCTTGGGTCGTACAATAGTGGGTCACACTGGGCCAATAGGCCTACAGGTACAAAACTCAAAGTACAGCACCCAGCCCAGGCGGCTCTCTATTCAATTCAATTCAATTTATTTTGTATAGCGTCAACTCATAACAAGTGTTATCTCAAGACACTTTACAAAAAGCAGGTAAAATACCTTACTCTTTGTCTGTTAACATTACAAAAGAGCAGGTAAAAATACCTTACTCATTGTTATGTTACAAAAAGCAGGTAAAAGACCTTACTTATTGCTATATTACAAAGACCCGGCCTATCCATCATGAGCACTTTAGCAAAGCAGCAAAAGTTACAGTGGTAAGAAAAAACTGTCTTATTAACAGGCAGAAATCTTCGGCCGGACCCCCGGCTCATGACGAAACAGCCTTCACAGGCCTAGACTGCGCCGGGGTTGGAAAGGGATAGGGGGAGAGATGGGATAAGATGCAGGAAGACAGATAGGGAGCAAGGAGGTGGGGGGAGGCAGACCGTGTTCTAGGTGATCTCTAGTGTTTTCCTGTATTGATAATAAGCAGTTTAACTGTTTGTAGCAGCCACCATGAGTCCGGGAGGTGATGGGACATAGCCCTATATATTCAGACAAGGTTCTTAAATATATGTAACGATACAGAGAAGATTAACATGGCCCCTGCACAAGGATGACACGCAAATTCGTGAAGCGTTCCTTCTTTTATCATAAAGTTGTGATTTATCATAAAAAATAATGATTTTTCCTCTTCAGACTGTGATTGTGGTGAAACAGCGCCCCCGCGGCAGCTGTGGCAGCAGCGCCGCATCGCAGCTGGAGCAGCAGACACTGAGTTTCACACTCTGCAATTAACTGTTTTAAAATCGGTCTTTTTTGTCTTTCTTTTGTTGTTCCTCCTTCTTCTGAAAGCCTTTCGACTCGACGAGGCCTGCTTTCAATGGTCGGCCTAAAACTCGTGTTTCTCGCATTAAATGTCGTTCAAACTTGTAACTTTTACCACTACTTTCCTGAATTGTCGTCTGGAAAACACCTTTTGAAAAAACACAGGGATCATGTCTCTCTGCTGACCATCATGTCCGTGTGTTGTTTTGCAGGTAAGCTGTGTTTATAAAAGTTGATGGTTAAATGGTCACGAGGAATCGTTCACGGCCTCCACGGATAAACTTTGTCCATGTTTCTTGCCTCAGACTTAATGTAAACTAAAAGTTGTCTTGTGGAGGATCTTCATCGATATGATCAGATGTTGTGAGCTAAAGCTGAGGTCCCTTATCAGAATCAGAATCGTTTTTTATTGCCCAGTAGCCTACATTTACACATCCAAGGAATTTGTCTTGGTTTATTGGTGCAAAAAAAAAAAAACAATTCACAAAGGAAATAAAGCAAAATAGCTATAACTTAAATACAATAAAATATAATAAGTAATTACAGGTATAATAGAGTATAAGAAATATAAAAAGTGCAGTATTAAAAGTCCAGTAAGCGTTAATGTAATGCATAAAAACAGTTTCAGCCTTCACATTACTGTAATGCTGTCTGTCTGTGGGGCTGGATGAGAGTCTGTGTAATGTGGGGAGGGCAGGGGCATTGTTCATCAGGCTGGCAGCAGAGGGGAAGAAACTGGTCTTGTGGCTCAAATGGTTTGATCTATTTTGTTCTTAAAGACATGAAGAATGTGCAGTAGAAAACACCACAGGTGTAATGCTGCCTACTGATGAGTTTATCAAGTTGGCTCGTCGGTCAGTCATTATGAACCTTGATATTATTTCCACATTTTGGTGGTTCCTTGATGCTTATGTTGTCATTCCCCCCGCACAGCATGCACAAGTTAAGGTCCTCATCATCTTAAATTATTTCAGACATTTAAGTAGGCTATACGAGATTACCATCATAAATTCACTGTGTAAAATACAAAATTAATTTACTAAAACACTGTTGTTACTGAACAAATCAAGGTGCTTGTACTTAATCCGAGTTCTTACATGTTATGGTAGCCTACTTCAAAGTCAAAGTCAAAGTCAACTTTATTGTCAATTTCAAAATATGCCAGACATACAGTGGAATCGAAATTGCGTTTGTCTCCATCCCACGGTGCAATACAACCAAAATAAGGTAAAATAAGATAAGGTAAAATAGATTAAATAAAATGAGGTAAAAATAAGATGAATAATATTTACAGTAATAAATTCTAAATTGTGCAAAAGGTACAAAATGGTAAATAAAATAAAGAAAAGAAAAGAAAAGAAAAAGTAAACTTGTGCAATATGTGCAATGTGCAGTAAACTTACTATTTAAGTAAACTTACTATTACAGTAAACTTAATATTTCTACTCCACTACATCTTTGAAGAAACTACTTTTGACTCCACAGCATTTGTCTGGCAGCTTTAGTTATCTTACAGATCACAGTTTAAAGAGCTGATAAAGTTCAAATAAGTAAACTACTTAAGTTTAAGTTTAAGTTTTATTTGCTTGCTGTGATTTTTGGGCTCATTTTCTGGGAAGTGTGTGGTTCTCACTGGACAGCAACACAAACAGATGAAGATTTCCTGGGTTACAATGCACTTCTTTTTCTTTTCTTTTTTTAAGATTTATTTTTGGGCTATTTGTGCCTTTAAGCCTCAATAAAGTTTATCTTTATCTTTATCTTTCATCTCTTTAATGGAGAGATAGCGCAGGGGATAGAGTCGGAAATCAGGGAGAGAGAGTAGGGAATGACATGTGGGAAAAAGAGGCCCCAGGCTAGATTTGAACCTGGTCCGCCCACTTGGAGGACCATAGCCCCCGTACATTGGGCGCACACACTAACCACTGCTCCACCAGTGCCCTGTTACAATGTATTTCTGATGCATCGAAACTGCCAGCAGTATGTCAAGTAAATTGACTCGTAAATTGGCTCGTCTCCATTCGTAAAATTTAACAAATACATTTATGCAGCAGTGGTAGGCTAAATATTAGGCCTATGCATTATAAATAGGCCCACTCCACTATTTAAACTTCATTTTGATGAGAAAGTTACAAACTCTAAAGTAAGGATTTGAATAAGTGACTTCTACTGTTTTTTTTTTTAAATCTAAACATATCTGTATCCATGAATCTCATGAATTTATCGAGCTGAGGGCTTACACCGGTTTTCTGTCCTTTTCTCTGGAACTGCAGTGACTCTCAGCTACGAGACTTTGACAGGATTCAAGGGAGGCCTATAAGTAAGTTTAACTATAAATAGTAAATCATTGATACATAGAGTATTTACATAAACAAAACAAAAACGTCTTCCTCCTCCTGCCTGCAGGGCCAGCCACAGTTCTTCTCTCTTGCCTTCATACAGGTCACAGAAGGACACATTTTGGTTTCCCAGTGTGGCTACAGTCCTTTTGGTCTCTTGCGTTTGCTTTCTACGAGTGGAGATAGGATCAGCGACCTGCTCGCAGCAGGCATACAAGGTGACACACTTCGAAACAGGGCCCTCATTTGCTACAAGTGTGTCTGGCTTTGACATATCTTGCAGCTGGATTGTTTCAAAACTTAGGTGATTCAATTCAAGTGCACAAATCCACAGTGTGTAGAGCAAAAGCAGCAGGTATATTGGCGTATTTGTAGCTGACGATTTCACCACTTCACTGTTGTTATTTTACACTACATTACAACTTACTGTAAATTATCTTTATAATAATACAAATAATAATAATACAAATAAATAAATGATAATAATCCTTTTTTTGTAGAGCACTTTTGGAGACGGGAGCACAAAGTGCTTTACAGAAGCAACTTAAAAGAGACAATCACTATTGCAGACACAGAAAAAAAGAAATTCAGACATATAGTTAAAACAAAACCATGTTAAAAGAGCCAAAGACAAATTAAGGTAAAAACAATAAAACAGGAGATTTAAAATATGTACACCAGAGCGCTTATAAAATGATCTGTCAGCTAAAAAGGCAAGTCTGTAAGCAATTATTTTATGACAGGATTTAAAATCAGAAATAGAGTCAGCTGAACAGATAGAAAATGGAAGACTGCTCCAGAGTGCCATCACAGAAAAAGCTCTATCACCCTTTGACCTCAACCTTGACTCAGGTACGGTGAGCAGGCCTAAGGAAGCTGATCTCAGATAGATGGTCTTCTTGGGCTGTAGGGAGTTAAAAGCTCATTTAAATATACAGGTGCAAGACCATGTAGGGCTTTTTAAGTTGCCAGTAAAAGTTAAAAATCAATTCTAAAAGAAAGTGGCAACCAGTGCAGTGAAGCTAAAACCAGGGTGATGTGAGCGGGGTGCTTTGTCCCTGTCATTCAAAATCATTTTTTCTGTGTTGTTAAAAGATAAAATTGACCTCATCTTTGAGATGTTCCTAAATTGATCAAAGCAAGATTTAACCAGTTTCTTGGTGTTGTGATTAAAACTTAGGTCACCGTCAAATATGACCCCCAAGTTTCTAATGTGGCTTTGAACATTTAGGATTATTGAGCCGAGTAGTGGCTGGATTTTGGTCCGAATATTCTCAGGTCCACTAAGAAGCACTTCTGTTTTCTCGTAATTTAGTTGTTAAAAGTTTTGGGCACCTCTGATTACAAAACAGATTACACCTGGAATTACAATAATGTTAATTAGTGATGTTGAAATGACATTAATCAATAGTTGCCCATTTAATTGATTCAGCATTGCATGGCAAAGGCACTATTGGTCAACAACAATCAACAACAAGAATCCAATTGACCCAACAACTCCACCTGGGGAGTTTCACCCCAGAAACTATAAACACCTCGACCATACAAAGGTCAAAACCTGAAGCAACGTTATAAAAGGAATTGCAAATAAATTGATAATTAGTTAATAAATAGACTGGAAGCGTCTTTGGAGAGAGTAGATTTAGTTTTTGCTGCAATGAGATCAGTCAAGTGGAAAGATGTTTCCGACGTTAATTACAACAAAGCAAGGCTCTTTGATTATAAAGACACTTAAAATCACCAACTGGGAGGGGAAATGAGTGGATGCCAGCAGAGGGGAGGCAGCCAATCATTCATCTGGAGTGTTTCAGGAGTGCAACTTACCCACTACTTGTGACCTCTCAGCAATCGGCAACCACGACAAACAGGCGCAAACTATCGTGTATTTACAAACTCTTGTCATTACAAATGGTGCAGGGAACCACCTAGAGTACCTAGCCTCCACCACAAGCCGGCAACCACTCCACTATGAGGAGATCATAAAAGTATTAGGCAAAAAGAAAAAATCAACTACAAAAACCAGTTGGTCCAATATAAAATACAACATATTACAGTAATTATGTAGTTGTTAAGGTATTGCAATATGTTGTTCATTAAAATGTCTAATGTTGTCACATAATCCTATAAATTGCCCAGTTAGCGATGTGCAGTCTTGAGATATGTGTTTAAGGAGCAACAATACCCTGAGCAGTGTCTCCACCAATCAGGCACTGTGGTAAGATTGAGGATAAGAGCGAGCGGCTAGAGTTCAGTCTAAGTCTCATTATGTTGCTCTGTCAGCTGCTCGTCTGCTGTCTCACTGCTTTGTCTCTCATCTGTCTGCAAGGTAAGACAGCCACAGTTATTACACACCTTTGAACTATACTATATACTGTCTACTTATGTTCATATTTGCCTGCTATCTTTTAAAATGTCAGACAAATTGCTTAATCGTTCTGTCTCTACACAAATAATGTGTGCATTGGTGACCGTTTCATAAACTATTGTTATTTTAAGAACAGTACACTACTTCTGTTCATCAATAATAAGTCAAAGTCACGATCATACTTTTGTGAACCCAGCCTGTGTTGTGCAGTGCATATGCGACTGTTATTTCACAGTGTTTATTTTTACTTTGTGACCTGCAGCTGTTCTCAGTCTAAATGTTAATTTTATGCAGGGTTAGCATGAGCAGATAACTCAGCTTCTGGCATCGACCTTTGACCTTTACAGACCTGTGTGCTACCAAACCTCTACCACAGCTTTACATCATTATTATGTATTTTATTGCATGTTTAAATTCATTTATTTTTATATTATCTCGATTCTAACAGCAGAAATGAGTGAATGAGGAATGGATAAAGATTTGTGTGTGTGTGTGTGTGTGTGTGTGTGTGTGTGTGTGTGTGTGTGTGTGTGTGTGTGTGTGTGTGTGTGTGTGTGTGTGTGTGTGTGTGTGTGTGTGTGTGTGTGTGTCAGGAGGCTGTCTCCAGTGTTTTGGTTGTAATGTTGGCGGAGGGCGTGGCCGGGGACGGGGTCATGTGGAGCTGGGCTGCAGCCAACCAGAAGTCATCAACTGCAGTCAAACAGAGAGAGGATTCAAACTGAGATTCTGCCTCACAACATACAGCAGTCAGTATCTTTCTGTGTGTCGGTCCATCTGTCATTAACAATCTGTCTTTCTGTCTGTAGGTTTAAAATTCTCATTATAACAGAGTCTTGGAGTGATTCTCTTTATTCTGTGTTCAGTTTGTGACAAAACAAGAGGTTTATGTCCTCAACACTAGCCTGAATGATTTACCAGTTATGACTATTATCCAACTATAAGCTGAAAGTTAGTTGTATGTAGTTGAATATTTCCTTAATGTTAGCTGAATATTACCTGAAGCTCTGTTGCAGTTCTCTTGTGTAAAGGCTGGTCGAACCAAATTGACAACAAAGAACAAGCTGCGACGAAAACCAACTGCTGCGTCATGTTCTGACCTCAGCTGTCAGGGGGGCAAAAAAGTCAATCTGTTCACAACAAACTGATAGCAACAATTGACTTGAAAAAATGTCTGAAGATAAAGAGACAGTTTACTTGACTTTTATATTTTCCTTCATCACTTATGTTTCTCTCCTCATGACCCGAGTTGCTGACTGAGAGCCAATCAAAGTAATTTCTCTCCCCGACTGGCTGCTGCCGACTCAACATGTTGAATCAGGCAAAAAGCCGTTGACAAGCTCAGAGCAGTTCTGATGCTGCTGTTCACACTGACCAGAACCACAGAGACAGCCCTGACAAGCCTCTGCCCCCAAAGGTCGACTCGGTGTGTATCCTACCTACCTTAAGAGTAGCAGCAGACTAGACCAGTCCATCAGCAACAACACATAAACATGACAGACAGAGCAGCATCTAAACAGATATGTGTTGATATAACCCCCTTTTTACTTACATCCGATGTAAAAGCTGTTTATTTGACTTTGTTGAAACTGTTTGTAAAAGTTCAACCATCTTTAGTTAGTATTTTATAGGATATTCAGTACAGCCAGAATAAGGCTGAAGAGAATCAAAAATGTGACTATTTAAAAAAAACATCAATGATAGGAGCTCTGCGTTGAACAGCAAACAGGTGCTCTTTTGGGGAGGGTGGAGTGAAACGATGAAAATGATAAACTAGATGTGTTTATTGCTTTATTAAAAAAAGTCCTCTGAAGAGTAAAGTTGGCAAACACAACACACAACAAGGTATCCAAGGCATTCTGGTACTTCGCAAAAGTTAAAAAAGCCTTTATTAATTCATGGCCACAGGTAAAGTAAAAAATGTGTTGCAGACCAATGCATTTCAGCTCAACAGAGCAGGATACCTTTTTGTGTTTGCCTACTTTACTCTAGTCTATTGATTTCTGATAACTGGTTTCAGACGTTTTTAATTACGTGCATCTCTATGTAGATCAAAATGAAGTAAACTATCAGAACTTCTCTTTGTTTGTATCTGCAGAGTCTCTGGACTTGGTTTTGTCACGGGGCTGTGCTACATCTCGTCACTGTCAGCAGACAGAGCTTCCTGGCGTTGCGGTTGCTTGCTGTGATTGGTCACTGTGTAATGGCGGATGGCGATGGGTGGGATCATTCAGTGCTATCATCGTCAGCTGCATCATGAGCTCCATGTTGTCTCTTCGGGCACGTCATCATTAGTAACTACTGGAGTCCAGACTGAAGATAGAACACATTTGATCATCTGCAGCATTTATTTTAGTTCACAGGGATTTTATTGTCAGTTCACCAGTTTTGTTTCTGGGCTGCACAGGGCCTGAGGAAGAACATCTGTGCTAACAGTGATAGTTGTGTTTATTCCAGTTATCTCTTACAGGAATGTAATATAGAGCAGGTTAGAGAACCAATATGAAAGTGACCCAGTGTGATGTGAAAAAGATATAAATGCATTGTTACTCATTTCTATCTGATTTGGAGCTATAGTTGTAGTAAGTAAATGAGGGATTAAAAAAAACTCCATCCTACTCCTTTTCAAGCAGGTATACTGTTTGATTTGTGTTAAATATTGCACTTCACATTTTTTATGTCTATATTTATTTTTGTATTGCCACTTGTGATTGGTTATTTGTCTTTGTTTATTTCATTAACATGTTCAAAAACAGATCCATCGTAACAGATCAATGATATTAGGCATATCTATAAGATGTATTGTAAGTGGTTCTTGCAGGCTTTGCGCCAGGTATAATCATGTTGGTGGTACAGGATGGTGTAAATGTCGGATTTCTTGTGCATGATTTATCTTTTCTCTCTAGTCTCCTTCACTATAATTCAAATCCTGATAAACTCAGTTGGTAATCCCCTTTTCTAGTGTAGGCCTAAACAGACTGTTTTTGTGACTGGTATATTTCTATTCATTTCAACTAGAAAACATGAACTCAATTCTATTCAGAAATTGAAACAGTTTAAATTATGCATTCGTTTATATATTTTCTTGTATTTATCTACATCTATCTATAAATAATTTGTCTTATTATAAATATATTTCAAAACCAAATTAACCCGTTCTGTGTAATTATTATTATAAATATTATTATTATAAATAATAATAATTATTGTTATTACAATAGACTGCAAATATTATAGTTGTCTAATAATAATAATAATAATAACAAAAATAATATTTGCAGTCTATGGTAATTATCAGTTTCTATGTGTATTTTATTATTTATTACCCCCTTGCCATGTAACTGTTAACTTTTCGACACGCATGCGTAGTAGCAGCGTCGTGCTCTCAAGCTGCATCACATTCAGTTGTGTAGTTAGCTCAAGCTAACAGGCTAGACTTGGTCTGCAGCTGTAACTATCAGATCCAGCACTGGGTTTATTTATTGAAAGAGCCGATCCAGTCCGTTGACGAGATACTGGTTTGATCAGGAATCTGCACTTACTGGTTCCAGTCAGTGCTGTTAGCATCGGCAGCTAGCCCAAGCTTGGCTCCAGCGACCGAAAACCAAAACAGAGCTTACAGAAGCTAGCTGGAGCCAAACGCTGGCTATCAGGCTGAGAGCTGGACAACATGGCGACAGAGGAGAAGAAACCAGAGACAGAAAACATAAAACAGTCTTCTTCATCTTCAGGGTCGGGCAGCAAGGTTAGTCCGCCCGACTAACAGGGGTCCAGAGTCTAGACCCCGGAACAGTCAGTATGATCATGTTAGCTCATGGATTTGGTCTTCATTGGCTGTAACATACCTGACCTGACTACCTGAGAGCCCTCTGCACAGTTAAAGGTGTACTGTATTGTTTATATTTTGTCAGCTCTGTAAATGTGTCTTGATAAGAGTGAGCTCCAGCTGCTTTATGATTTCTCAATTCAGATGTAAGATGAAGCTGCAGCCAGTCCCCAATGAAACTATACCAGTCTGTTTACAAGATGATAAAGTCATGTTGATCCAAAGAAGTATATAAGCAGGTCCTGAAAACATCATGTTTTCCTTATTATTATTATTATTATTATTATTATTATTATTATTATTAATACTTATAATTTCCCACAATCATTAGAACATATGGTTGAAGGACTTCACTACAAGGTAAAACTAGGGCTGTGTACTAGTAGAAATCTTCCATGTAACACGAAACTAGGTAACAATTAAAGTGAACTTTGATTGTAAGCAATATGTTTCCTTGTTGCGGTGGTGTCAAAGCGTTAAGCTGCTCGTAGAGACTGTGAAGTTAAAACACCATGTTCCATGAATCACTACCACACATATTTTTAGGTGAACTATCATATAAAATCAGTGTTTTATGAAATACACACAGTACCACAAAACACACGTATCATGACAGCGTGGTCATTTGAGTACAGCAAAAGTCAATTTTCCGTCATGTCAGTGTGGCAGCATTGGTTGTAGCGTTTGCTCCATCTCATGTTTTGTCTCTGTGTGTTCTAATCATAATTTTACCGCTGTGAATGGAAATATGTATTCCTGTGCATTTTCTTTCACCAATTCTCGGTAAATTAGAGTATCACTTTCACTTCATTCGGATAGAAATATGGCTCTGGTTGGTTACAGGTGTTGCACACTCTTCAGATCATTGACTGCTGTATAAAAGCTTCTCCATCTCTTGTTTGTCAGCTGTAACTCTCATATAAAAGATTAAAGCTGTGTTAAGTGTGAGTTTGTGTTCTGTTCTTTTAGTCTAATCCGGCCAAACCAAACTACACAGTCAAGTTCACGCTGGCCGGACACACAAAGGCCGTCTCTTCTGTCAAGTTCAGTCCTAATGGAGAATGGCTTGCCAGCTCCTGTGAGTACACACACACACACACACACACACACACACACACACACACACACACACACACACACACACACACACACACACACACACACACACACACACACACACACACACACACACACAGGCAAACATGCATTTACACACTTAAACCTATGTCACCTCCTGTCAGCAGATACTGATTTGTGTTTTGTACGATAGAAAAGTTGATATCAGAATTCAGAAAAGTAAATGATCAGGAAAGCAACAGTATCCCATATCACAACTAAAGAAGAATAGAAAAAAAAACATTCAACTGGTTGGTTGTACAGGACAGTCAACCTAGCCAATGAAAGTAAAGGTTGACAGAATTTCTTTTTAAAAGTCTTTATGGTGATTTTTCAAATGATCTTAATTAAACTTGATTCATCAAAAAAAAAAATGCGAGTTCAGCAGCAAGACAAATATACTTTGCAGAGACTAAACATGTAAAATGTAATATAAGCAAATCCAGACACTGTTAGAATAGTATTTTTGGTGTTTTCATCAGGAACAATCAGGGAGTTAAAAACTGAAGGTATGGTTGTACCAGTGTTTCTCGTATACCTTTCATTTTGAAGGGTAACACAACACTCCCAACACAACCCCGGCCACTCCGACAGAATGAAATAATTTGTTATGGAATTTACATAATTTATGTGCCCTTGTTTTATTTCAGCAGAGCATGGGTTCTATGCATTTCACTGCCCTGAGCAAGTGTTCCAGCTGAGGGCGACGTTTCGTTTTGAGCGCAAAGCACACTGACTGACACATCTCCCGGGTTGTCTCAGTCGAGAGCCAGGATATTCATTTTAACTGAGCCTCTCACCTGAAGAAGTTACAACCTTTTCTTATACAATATTCTATCTTTTAAAGAAGCCATGAAACATTTATGATACCACTACAGCATTGGTTCACCTGCCAATTTTTATTGTTGTAATTAACCCTCGTGAGTAAAGCATGCTACTCTTAAAACAAGTATCGTCTTATAGCTCAACAATATTATGGATGGTGTGTAGACCAATACTTTATTTATTTCACAAAAATGTGTTATTAAAACTGTTCATGAAAATCGCCTCTTTTTTGCATATCTGGATGGATTATTAGTTACTAGAGTGATAGCAGAGGGTGATAGATCGCCGATGGGTGACAGCCGTTTAGAGACAATACATGTTGGGAGAACAGAGTGAGGGTTGACATGCAGCAAAGGGACGAGGTTGGGTTTGAAGCCATGGACAACTACAACGAGGACTACAGCCTCTGCATGTGGGGTGCACGACACAACCGCCAGGCTATCTGGCACCCCAACATTGATTTTTAATAAGAGACAGAGAGCGGCACACTGAGTTCTGTTGATGTTCAACAGAAACAGTCTGTTTGTTCTTTTTAAACAACAGAGAGATGATCAGACGAGGCAGGAACTTTCATCACAAGTGCTTTTTCTTTGTTTGTTTCTGGGATTTGTCAGTCTCAATAGGAAATGCTTTAAAGCTTTGAAATCAGACTGATTCCGTCAACATCAGTAGTGTCGGTCACTGGGGATGACACTGATGAACATACATTGTTAAAAAGTTGTCTGACTTTTAACTGGGTGAACGTTGAGTCCCCCCCCCAGCTAAACCTAGGGGAAACAATAGTTGTACACTACATGAACAGATCAAATAAAAGATGCTGACAGGGGAAATAAGGTGTATTTGTGGTAATTTATAACACATTGTGACTCTAAATTATGCTGACTGACTTCAATGCTGTGAGGGTGAAGTAACAATGGTAACATCTCTGTGCAGCTGCTGATAAGCTGATAAAGATTTGGGGAGCATTTGACGGAAAGTTTGAGAAATCTATCGTCGGACACAAACTGGTGAGACGCCTCAGTCCTGAACTTGCTCTGAAAATCGTCTGGATTTGGTTCGGTTTCTCATCCTGGACTTGTGTGTCTGTCTGTCTTTAGGGGATCTCTGATGTCTCCTGGTCTTCAGACTCCAACCTTCTGGTTTCTGCCTCAGATGACAAAACTCTCAAGATCTGGGACAACAACTCGGTAAGAGAGAAACAAACAAGAAACTAAGCCTGTGTGCTTCTACTCTATGGAGGAGGGAGACAGCTCTCTCCAATTTATTTAATTTGTACTGCAGTACACATTTTAAACGCTATGGGCCTGATTTACTAAGATCCCAATTAAAGAGTACTAAATTGCGTGTTCGTTCCAACAAATTGCACGTTTGGTTGGTGGGCGTTTTGCGTGAAATTACACCAGGTGCAAACCTTGTGGGGGCGGTACCATTTAAGTTAGGTTTTTCCGTGTTCTACTGTTTTACGTTAAGGATAGTTTGGATGGAAAGCAGGATGACTGCAAGCGCAAAATAGGTATCAGTAGAAGAGGCAAATAAACGCAAAATGTTTTCGAGTTATAGCAGATAAAACTGAGTATTACAGAAAGAAAATCTGGCTTATAAGAAAACCTCGGCATTAAACAGGGCCTCTCTTTTATTCCCTCCATCTTTTGAAGATGAATTGCCATACATTGCGCAGGAGGTGCAAGCTCTCTCCTCTGTGGCGCTCAGGCACGACACTCGGCACATTGTTGCGCACCAGATAGCTGGCCAGTGCTGTGCCTGATCGGATATAAATGCTCTGGAAAGAGGTATCGAAGACGGGGGTGGGGTCTCCCCATCCAAGCATAGCAGCAGCGGGCTGTAGAGGGAGGAGACTCGTGCATTAAGGAGAGGAGCGCACCAGAGGGGGCGAGCTGGGGGAGAGACGTGCAACCTGAGAAAGAGGAAATCCCCAATTTAAACATAATGTTGGCGCAATGAGGGAAATAGAATGACATAAATGTCAATGTATAAATTCTTTAGAATGCAGAGGCTGTGAATGTTCAATTTTGTTGGCTAAAAATAGGCAACAATATATAATAGTTTAATCATGGTGTTTCCTGCTGTCATTCCAAACATACTACCATGTGTGGGGGAACTCGCAATCTTTATGCCTTCTTTGATCGTGCCTATGTCTCCTCCTCGCTATAATAACATCAGCCTGTTGTGCGTAACGCTGGTCTCCTGGATTAGCACGTTCTTTTGTTCTTTTTCTTTCAAAGGTGTTAAATACAGACACCTTCATAATCACCGCAGTTTTTGCCAGGCTTGGTAAATCGCAATGCGTGTACTAACTTCAGTTCTTTACATTTTCTCCTACCAGTATTTTACACGCTAGGGCAGAAACGCCCCATATTGCATATTGATTAAGGCAAACATACTAAATGGTCAATGCGTGTTGTTTTGCTCATATGAAAGACGCAATCCTCACTGCACCAGTAGATCAGATAGCACTTTTTTTGCGGGTGGTGTCAAGTTTGCACACGCAAACCTATAGTAAATCTGGCCCCTTGTGTCAGGGTTAAATATTGCTCCTTTAACCAATTGTATTATAAATTGACAACAGATTATTTAACAACTCAGCAATTTTAGTGTGCATGATAGTGACTATATGTGTGACTCTAAACCTCTGTTTGTCTCTTCAGGGGAAGTGTCTGAAGACTCTGAAAGGTCACAGTAACTACGTCTTCTGCTGCAACTTCAACCCTCAGTCCAACCTGGTAGTGTCTGGATCGGTACGTTGCTTCATGATGTCACTGAGTTTCTGCTGAACACTGCTCGTTTTATGAAGTAAACGTAAATGTGTGTGTTTATGTGTAGTTTGACGAGAGCGTTCGAATCTGGGACGTTAAGACGGGGAAGTGTCTGAAGACCCTGCCGGCTCACTCGGACCCGGTCTCGGCTGTAAGTCCTGACCTCTGCCCCTTCATTAAGGCTCTTGCTAACATGCTTATAAGTATGATTTTTCATTGACCTAATTGTTATTTGCATAATCAAGTTTAGTGGTACTGACACAGGATCTGACCTCTGACCCTATGTTTCTGTTTTCAGGTTCACTTCAACAGAGATGGCTCGCTCATCGTCTCCAGCAGTTACGACGGTCTCTGGTACGTCTTCACATGAAATGCACATAGACATTTTCCCACAGAAAACAGCAGAGAAACACCTGGTGAATGAATAATGATTATATTTTCTTGTCTGTAGTCGTATCTGGGACACAGCTTCAGGACAGTGTCTGAAGACTCTGATTGGTGAGTCCCAATAAATCTCGTCCTGCTCCTTAGTTTGTTGAACAGGGGAACAAACAAACATTATTCAGGACATTTGCACCTGTAATCTCAGGTTTGATATCTAATCTGCTGCTTAGCTGCAGTAAACAGCATATTAACTTTCCTGCAGATGTCCCTGTACACCAGCTCTCCTCCCCTTTGGTGCTAAATAGGAACTATTTTTACTGTGTAATATACAGTATAGTCATGATGCTTTTCTTCAGAAAAAAACCCTTCCCATTGTTGTAGTGAGACAAGGACATGCTGTCGTTTTTTTTGGATAAATAGAAAAAAAAGATCAAAGTAAGCCAAATTAATTAGACTTCAAGAGTGAAGTCAGACTCTCTTTTGGTTTGTTGTTCTCAGCTGTGTTTCGACACTGACAGTGCATCCTGAACCTTCCTAAAATACAAGGAGCGGCAGTAGCTCAGTCTGTAGGGACTTGGGTTGGGAACCGGAGGGTCAAGTCCCGATGCGGACCAAATATGGAAGTTGGTCTGGTAGCTGGAGAGGTGCCAGATCACCTCCTGAGCACTGCCGAGGTGCCCTTGAGCAAGGCACCAAACCCCCTCCCCACCACCAGCTCAGGAGCGCCCGCTGTGTGCCGCTCCGTCACTCTGGCTTCTCTCCATTAGTGCATGTCCATAGGATCCTGTTTCTGCATGTGTGTGTATATTTTAGCCTATGTGTGTGTTCATGACTTACAGAGTGTAAAAACTGAAATTTCCCCTTGCGGGGATCAATAAAAAGTTAATTTTAAGGAGAACCAGGAGACACTCAAACTGAAAAAAAAGACTTTGGGTGGTCTAAAATACTTACAAGAATTAAGAACCAAATCCCCTTTGGGTTGTATATTTGAATGGAGAGCAATACTACAAATCAGAACACTCAGGGGGGTATGTGGGAGGAGGGGAAGCGGTGCAGTGAAGGACAGTGGAGGTATGGCCAAAGAAAAGCATTGTTTTGGTCTGAGACGCTACTGTAAGTGCAACATCTACTCATGTATAATAACCTGCATGTTAAACAGACCTGTGATCTGTAGATATGACCTGTGATCTTTCAAAATTTGTGTCTCTGTCCTCAGATGATGACAATCCGCCAGTTTCTTTTGTGAAGTTTTCTCCAAATGGGAAATACATCCTCGCTGCTACACTGGACAAGTCAGTATGACAATCTGAACAGCAGAAATCTGCATCATGTTGGCATTGTGTAAACTTTTTGTCTAAAGGTTTTTGGAGTTAACTGAGCAGAAGTTTAGCTTGAATTTGTGTTAATACCAGTTAGCTAACTTACTCATTCAACCAGCCTACCTTTCAAACTCTTATCAACTTCATGCCAACCTCACTTTGCTTCCCCATGTTAGCTTACCTGACTCTTACTTAGCTTTCTTTTTACCTGGTCAATTTTCATCTCAACCAAACTAACACTGATTTTAACCTCGCACAAATGTAACTGTTGTCATTTTAGGGTAGTTTTAAAAATAATTACATTTAGCAAGACAAACACATAATAACCTTACTACAGTAAAGCAAGAGTCTATTTTAGAATTACTGAATAACCACATGTTAATAGTAAAAAAAAAAACATTTAAAATTAATTAATTTCACATGACTGAAATTTAGCTTGCTAGCTAGTGAACTTTCAAAACGTAAGGGGGGGGGGGGGGTGTTACATGTCTTATATTTATCTAGAGTAATAATGAACTAACCACCACTTTGCGAGGGTTATTGAAGCCTACATAACTTTGACCTTGCCTCGTGATAACTAAATTTGGCTAGCCTTAAATTTATTTTAGCCTTTGTAACTTAACTTTCTTGCTGTACATACTGGCTGATAACCTGTTACTATGTTGCATTTTAAGCGTATCTGTTATCAAGCCTTATTCAATTCTTTATTTTTTTTTACTATAAATACTATTGCTAACTCTGAGAAACATTTCACCAATCTTTCTGTCCTGTACTTTGACAAGAAAAAAAAGGAAACAGGGTTGCTGAGAGGGCGTGAAGTGTTGTGTTCACTAATTTATAAAAACAAATGAGTTTCTCACGATGAATGTTCCTTCATGGTGTTTTTCATAAAGCTAACACTGTATTCTCTGGTTTACAGCACATTGAAGCTTTGGGACTACAGCAAAGGAAAGGTACTGAGTGTCTGTCCTGTCTGTCTGTAAGTTTATCAGTCTGTCTGTAAGTCTATCAGTCTGTCTGTCCTCTGAACTACAACATACTGTCTCTCCCCTTTTTTTGGTTTTAGTGTTTGAAGACATACACCGGCCATAAAAACGAGAAGTACTGCATCTTTGCCAACTTCTCTGTCACAGGAGGGAAGGTGAGAGTCTAAAGCCTTTTTTTAAAGATTTTTTTAGATGGCTGATTTTTTTTCTAGGAGTTCATTTCTAGTCTTTGGTCCCCCTCTCCCTGACTCCCATGTTTAGCTTAATGAGCTATCTGTTAAACATGGAGGTCAGTGTCAGGTGGTTTAACGGTGGACTTTTGTGTTTCAGTGGATCGTGTCAGGTTCTGAGGACAGCATGGTTTACATCTGGAACCTTCAGACCAAAGAGATCGTTCAGAAACTACAAGGACACACAGGTTTGACTTTTAACTCCCCAACACGACTCTGTTTTTAAAGGTCTGAGCCTCTGTTTTGGTCTACTAGTCTTTTTTCTTCAAGTCCTTGACCTTGTCATAAAGTCTTTGAATAGACTGGTACTCCGTTTTGTTCATAGTCAGTGTCTCTGTCTACTTGTCCTCGCATTCTAGGTCCTTACTTTGTCTACTTATCTTGTTTCCTAGGCCCAGATTTGGTTTTGTTACGTCTCCTAGTCCCTGATTTTTTGTTATTTTTGTCTCCCAGGCCCTGACTGTGTACTATTCCTTCTCGTCTAGTCCCTTACCATGTCAATTTATCTTTGTCTCCTAGTCCTCTAGGTTTTCTAGCCTCTTCAGTTTTCTGTCTTCTGTCTACTGTCTTTTACATTCATTTCATAAACCACACTCTGTCTGATCAGGCCAGAGACTTGATGAAAACTAACTTGTTTATCTTTGTTCTTTGTGTGCAGACGTGGTGATCTCGACCGCCTGTCATCCAACAGAAAACATCATCGCTTCAGCGGCTTTAGAAAACGACAAAACCATCAAACTGTGGAGGAGTGACTGTTAGACTCAAGGAGAGCAGAGAGAGTCTGAACTATCCTCTACTGTCCTGTTTAACTCTACAGATTATTACTGATAATCCACATAAACACAGTTTAGTTTAATCTGATGTGAACACACAGTCATGAACACACAGTCAGAGCAGGCCCCACAGTGTCCCACGTTCAGAACGTCCTCCCTTTCAAATGAAATGACTTTCAGTACCTCTTGGGTACAAAATTATTTACCATCTCTAAAAGACATTCATTATAAAACAATTCCGGAAAGATTTTAGTTTTTTTAGATTAAACTTTGATGTGGTTTAATGTTTTATGATGTAATCCAAAAAAAAAAAAACAGCTACTGAGCTATATTTTTTAAAGCCACAGAGGAGTAAAATAAATGCTAAATCCATTTGAGTGACTAAAAGTGGGCAGTTTGCTAATAGACAAAAGATAAAATGTTATTTCCTCAGAGGAGTATTTTCCGATATGTTCATTTATAGCAAATCTTTAAAAATGTATTTTAACACAAAAACTGAGCTGATGTCCTTAAACCTGATTATAAGTCATTGTAAGTTTTTTTTTTTTCTTCTTTCAAGAGAAAGATAGAATAACATTTTAAAAAAGAACTCAAGTTATTACAACGTGATACCATCCCAGAAAAACTTGACAAAAAAGTCTCTATATATGTTTTTTCAGACAGAAGATAATTAACCAGTACCAGAAAACTGTATTTGATTAAGCAAAAAGTCATGATTTTTCCAAAGCAAATAAACCCTTTTATTTAAAAGAAATATTAAATAGTCATCATTGAGTCATCAGATAATATATTTAATTTGTGTTGTTAACTATTTATTGGCCGTTAAATTTGGGACACACCGTCTACCCCTCTGACTGATCTGTTGCTATAGTAATTATGTGTGTGTTTATGGCTATCTGTCCTGTGTGATCATCTGATTGAACAATAAGCACTAGCTCTTCATCAAAATAATCATCACTCTCCTCATACTGTTCCCACAAACTTTATTCAGCTGAACGCGACAATAAATTAATATTGTTCAGGAGAATTTTTTTTTCTGTTATTTGTAAATAAAGATTTTGACTATGAGCCGTGTGTGACTGTATTTCAAGATGCAATTTTGAGAAAGACTCCTGAATGACTGACACTTGAAATAGTTCTTTGACATTGTGTTATTTCTACTTTTACTTTACTTTTTCAACATATTTATAAGGTTTTCAGAATTCCCTTTATTTAAATGATTAAAACATTTAACTTGCAAAAATTAATATACATAAAATAAATTAGGGATAAGTTACGTTTTTCAAAATTAAATTTTGATGTATAAATAATTTCACGGATTATAAGTACATGTTCAGTATAGCTGTTTAAAAACGTGTGATAGAAGTACTTTTTTTATCACACGTTTTTACATATACATATCTGCTTACAGGTTGTTATTCAGATGCAGATGTTTGAATTGAATTAGTAAAAATAGATGAGATGGTTAAGTAGAGACACAAAAACACATTTATTCAATTTAACAAAACTTTCAAAGTTTGAACTTTGTTCTCTGATTCTTCATCTGCCGTCAACATCAGTATCCTCTCCCCTTTTTCATTTGAACTTTGAAACAGAAAACCATTACTGTTGTCCTAATTACAATGTTACAATTCTCTGTTAATTAGTCTCGTAAAACGCCCATCAGTCCATCCTCTACACTTTGATTTGACCTTGAACTGAACAGAACATTAACAACGGACTGTACAAGAGGAGATGATCTTTGTTCCTGACAGTTTCACTAGCTGGCATTTTATGTGCTTCCAAGTCACCCAAACCATTCCTGAGTTTTAAACCTGAAGATAAGGTTTACAATTTTATAATAAACAGCCGAACACAAAATGTATCTTGGCAAAATACAGTTTGAAACTGATGAGATGACAATTAAAGAAAAACCATCTTTACTCAAGGTACACTATCTCATTCTTTCAACTGCGTACCAATATCTTAATGATAAGCACATTGAACAGAGTCATTGGAGTCATTAAATGTGTTTCTTCCAGTGGGTAAATAAAAAAAAGACAGCCTCCATGTTCCTAAATTTAAGTGCCATGTTGGTAAAATATCTTTGTGATGCCACAGATCCTGCTCCATTAGTGTTATAATGTTGACATTCAAATGTGAAGTAAAGAGTGAAGTAAAATTATACCCTGTCCTATGTAACTGGCAAATTTTACACAAAGCAGACGGCAATTCTTTTGTGAAAAGTTACAGGTTGCAACTCTTTGTAAAGTACCAATGGAAAAAAACCATAATAAAAAAAACAGCAGTGGGCATACATTTTTATCCATTATGTCCCAACAGCATGCTACAGAACCTACTGAGAAGGCTAAACTGTACACTGGGTCTGAGAAATACTGAGCGCTTTGTTTTCTGCAGTTGCTCAGAGTTAGAAAGCTTAAAATCCCTGAGACACAAAGACAACAGCTGCACACCGAATAACACAGTGTGTGTTTTTTTTTATAATCAAAGCTAGTCCTTTGGGTAAACCTCAAAATGTCTCAAAAGTTCCTGCAACAGGTCTGTAAACCACCAATGAAACCAGGCAGGTCCTGGTCCCCCTGACTCCTTAAAAAGATTTCTGCACCGATCCAAAACGCTAAGTAGGCTAGAGCTTTAAGGTAACTGCAGCGGGCAAACTGTTAGTGAACTTTTAATGGGTATGATGACAGTCAGTTAGCCAACTCATAGTTTTAGTCTGATACTGTTAAAGCTTTGAGCTAAGCAGTAGCTAAGCATTGCATCAGTCCATAGCGTCCATAGCAGTAAAGTCAGCTAATTGTTAAAGCTGTTAGCTAACTATAACTACTGTTTGTTATTTGTCACAGCAGTCTGCTACATTTGAGCTAACTCTTATAGCATTGATGTTGAGATAGAGCAACTTGTAAGTCTTGTAAATATTCAGGTGGTTGTAAAAATTAAAGCAGTTGCAGCAATTACTAATGCAACCTTCTAAAGTTAGAGAGTTTCTGGCAGGTAAAGAATCAAGCTGGACCAGATGAAACCAGCCAAAACTGGTCTTCGCAAAAAGTATCCAGCATATGAAACTGGAGAATCCAATCAGACCAGTCCAAATTCTTTGAGAACTAAAATTCCAGCCACTTGTCCCACAAAAATATGTCCCATGTGCGCCATTTCACACAAGCATCTGGTGGACATCAGAGTCCAGACAGAACAGTTATACACCTAGCTGAACCAGTCCAAACCAGTTCATACAAGTGGAGTCCAGCGCAGAGTGCCTATGGAGATGAGGGTTTGGCAGGTGGCAGAGTCCAACCAAACAGACTCCACCAGATTGAAATGCAGGAAGCCGAGGGCAAATCCACAACCAACATCTGACAGGTGATGTTTACCCAGCAGCACCCGAGACACGCCTACCAGGACGGCCCACAAGTAGAGCAGGATCCTGAGGGGCACCTAGAGGACAATTAAACTGTGTTAATTATGTCTAATGATGCCTGGTCACCATCAACTTTATTGATAAGAAGTTGTCCCAACTGACCGCCAGCACCAGGTGGTTTAGCAGGAACTTGGAAACCATGACGGCTCGGCTGGCGTGGGCAGCTGGGAAAGAGTATATGTCCATAGCAATGTAGTCCAAAAACCCTGGGGGGGAATCCCATGGTCCTCTACGTTTGACCAGCTTCTGCATCCCAGCAACCGTCATCAGATCCAAGATCAGAGCTGTTGGAGAAAGAGACAGCTGATAGTTCAAAGGTCATCTACTACTGTACATCATGCAAAGCTTCCTTGTTTTTTTTGTCCTGATCTGAGTCAAGGGAGTGTAAAGTGGGTCACATATAAAGATTTAACCCCCATGAGGAACATTAGTGAACAAATAAAATATGTTTGAAAACCTGCAATGTTTCGTTTCTTACCCAGCAGCAGGTTGACGAGGACTTCCTGTCCGGCCATTGTGTTGCTACTCCACAGACAGATCAGAGTTCCTAAGAGCCAGGGGAGAGCGTGTCCGGTGAGGGCCAGCAGTGAAACCATGGAGCGCAGCGGGGCTCTGGAGCCATGGACCCCTGCATACACACCCATACGCTTTGACAGGCTGATGTCAATGGCAAGCAGAGAGTTGATGGCGATTCCTCGAAATGAAGGATTGAGCTGTATACAATCCTCCTTCACCGCCCCTTCAGCTGCTAAGCCCCCCTCTGAGGAGTCCCTCGATCCCCTGAGGACGGAGAGACCCTTGTTAAGTGTCTGTATCATTACAGAAAGAACCCCTGTAGTGGTTGAGCTTTAGTTAAAAACTTGTGTTTTCTAACTAAGTTTACAGTGAAGTTGTTCTCTTCAAGGGTACCATACTCTATTGTTAAACTGAGTATTTTTGCCTTTGAGAAAACAGAAGTTGCTCTCAACCTCAGCCATGATTAGTTTCTTCTTTTGTTTTATTGTGTGCTTCACAAAAACTGTGTTGGATACAAATAAACCTAAAACACAAGCCAACTGATCAATAAAGCAGTATTCCAGCAACTCCTATTTCTTGCAAGGACATTTTTTTATCAGTTCAGTCTGGTGGCTTTGAAAGATGAAATATTACAGCGGTTTTCTGGTTTCAATTTAAAAAAAACATCTAACCTTAAAAAAAATAAAAAATCAGTCAGTATCCCTTTTGTAGCATTTTCAGACTCTCAGAGTCTTGAATGTGTAGAAATAAGCACTTTCAGTGAATTGTATTGACTGTTTTATAGCCTGCAAGGATTGGGTTGTAGCCATTTACAACCCATTTAACAGTGCTGGCTGACACATTGCACTGAGGCAATTGAAAATTGAATTACCATTTAATTTTCAATTCATAACTGCAGTTAAAATACAGTAATTAATGTTAGAAAACCTGAATGCAACTCTCCCTGAAAATGACATCCTTTCAAGAGTTTAACAGAGTTTTTTTTCTAGACGGTGTTGTCTCTAGAAAAAGCTATATATTGTATTGAACAATATAAAGTTGGACAAGAATCAACACATGAAGGATACACATTTGAAATTTGTGACTTAAAAACTGACAAATGTGGACTAATTTTACCCCGAAGAGCATGCAAATGAATGAGAGGACGAATAGCTTAACTTGACTCATGATTCTGTCCCCGTGAAATTTGGTTTCATAAAGTCCTGATAAACTGAGATTAACACAAAAAAAGAAGTTCAGGGGGCAGACAGAGTGAGTTTTAAATAAAGAAGCTCTGTGTTTTGATTTGGGATCAGAGTTTGACTCAGTCAGTGTGTTTGGGTTCTAAATGTGAGATGTGATTTCATCGGGTCAAGCGACTTACCTCAGCCCTGGATCCTCCTGCTGACTCTGCTGTCTGACCCCAGGCCTCCGTGGACCCCCGCTCCCCCGCCCCTCTCCTGACCCCTGCTCCCTACGGGGGGGTTGGTTCAGGGATAGAAATTCGGGCCGGTTCAGTACGTTGTTCCTTTCTCTAGCCCGACTTCGAGTCTGACTCCCAGGCATGATGGCGGACTGTCCAGAGGTGTTGGAAGTGCAACGGCGTGCAGCACTGCCTGCAGGATAGTGACGGATCAGGTCGGAGACTCTGAGGGACTCTGCTATAAATAGACCAGCTGGCCTTCTTCTTTTGCTGTCAGCTGTTCAGATAGAGAGAGAGAGAGAGTGAGAGAGACTGGAAAAACACTGCTCTGATACATACACACACAATGTACAATACAGGCCAACAGACCTGACTGTCATATTAAAGGAACACTCCTCCAGTTTCACATGTCAAAGGTCAGTGTATGTATCATGGTCTTGCCATGCTCAGGCAACATCAAAGTCATTGATACCACTATACAACCAGACAGAGTTATGGCAAGAAGAAGAGAATTTTAAGTCTTCAAACAATACACAAATGTCTGTCAGTGGTCCAGTCTCAGTCTCACCCTCAAGGACTTGAAACCTTTAAGGCATGTTGCTATAGAGAGCTGTTGCCTGTCCCATTGTCTTATCATCCTATGCAAAAGTGTCTGATGCAGATTATTTATGTTGATATATCTGCAGACATGCTAGACTTGCCCATAAATGGCAAAAATGTTTATTTAGTGGACAAACAGAAAAAAAATAGCATGGGCGGTGAATAATCAAAGCAACAGCATACAGCCACAAACTGTTACATGTTTGTGGAGCTGTTCGGGTTTTTATTAGTCAATCCTCTACCTTGGCATCAGTCAGTCTTCCCTGTGCTTGCACAGGGTACAAAACGCTGCAGCTATGTTAACTGGAACCGATAAAAGAGAAAGCATATCTCCTGTACTTGCATTAAGCACTGGCTCCCGGTCAAGTACAGGATTGAGTTTAAGGTTCTTTTATTTCTTTTTAAAGTTTTACATGGCCTGGCCACCCTGCACATCTCTGAACTCCTCCACCCTCTCTCCCTTCCCAGACCTCTCAGGTCATCAGACCAGCTGCTCCTGGCTGTTCCTGGGTCAAGGCTTAAGGGCGCAACTGGTACAAATGTATTCTGAATAGGACATTTTCCACTCACTGTAGTAAATTGTGTAGCCTGCACCTGCTGTTTAACATCTGCATCCCATCATCTGTTTCTGGCTCCAGTTTGTCCCTCAAAACTCTGCAGATTTTTTCTGTTACCAACAGTCCAGAGAGTCTGCTGGTTCAGTGTCATATGGAATATCATCTGGCTGCTAAACGGGACCAGACTGGACCCAGTCCAGGCTAAATTCAGCACCCCCCACCCCCCACCCCCAACAAAACGTTTGACTTCAAAACAAATGTCAAAATAAATATAAATGTAGGCTATGTATAACTATGTGCCTACGGTTAAGATTTGTGTATGCTAAATGATTTTTCTAGCTATTGACTAAACTGAGTGTACATTTCTCTAAAAAGCAACATTCAGTTTACTGAGATTGTAAAATTCAACAGTAAGTCTGACATCAGGAAGGCAGAGGTTTGATTGATAATGAAATGGGTGTTAACTGCTAAGGCACTTGTCTCCCTCACACGATGATGATAATGAAAATACCATTAATCGATAGGCCTACATTTATTTCACTCTAATCACTTCACTAATAAAGCAGATATTCTACAATTATCCTGATACAAAACAATATTAAGCAAAGTTTAGTCACATACTGTATGTGAACTCAAGGCAGTGAATGTGCAACTCAGTAAAAAACAATATACTGTAAATATTAAGGTATAAAACGGTAAAATATATCTCAGAGGAACCTTTGTAATAATGTTGTGTGTTCCTACCCGGTCCGCTTTACAGAAACACCGTTGCCATTGGATGCAGCAGTTGTTAATGGTGCTAACAACAGCTTTACCTTCAGAGAAAAGAGGGCAAATTATCTAAATTGACATTTTACGTGTTGACGTTTTAACGGATTAACACGGCTCATCGCAGAGGTAAAAACAAGCTACGTTTTTTTTTCTAGGTAACTTCGTGAGCTAGCAGCGGGACAAGTTGTAAGGTCTTTAGATTGAGTGGTGGTCAGCAGTCTTAGCTGTCAGCTGCTAGGCGGCTTACAACAGTGAACAGTGTGACGGGCAGAACGACACAAGAAACCAATTCAAAGATTTATTCAATTTACGAAAGACTTGACGTAGAGATAGAGAGTGAGTGAGAGTGATAGAGAGAGAGAGAGAGGGTGAGTGATAGAGAGAGAGAGAGAGGGTGAGTGAGAGATAGAGAGAGATTGAGATATATATATATATATATATATAGAGATAGAGAGAGATTGAGATATATATATATATATATATATAGAGAGAGAGAGAGATGCTAAATATGTTCATGATTGTCACAAACTGAGACAAAATACACTTAATGTTTCATAGAAATACACTGTAAAAATAATGTTATTGTTAATGTCTTTTATTCATATTTGTTATATTTGTTTACTGTATATATTGTAATCATTTGTTCAAAATGTTTTCTGAGAGAGAGAGAGAGAGAGAGAGAGACTGAGAGAGATATATAGAGAGAGTGAGATATATATATAGAGAGAGAGATTGAGAGAGAGAGAGATAGAGATATAGAGAGTGATATATATATAGAGAGAAAGAAAGTGAGAGAGATATAGAGAGAGTGAGAGAGAGAGAGAGAGTGAGAGAGATATAGAGAGAGTGAGAGAGCGAGAGATTGAGAGAGAGAGATATAGAGATTGAGAGAGAGAGATATAGAGAGTGAGAGAGAGAGAGAGTGAGAGAGATATATATATATAGAGAGAGTGAGATATATATATATATAGAGAGAGAGAGAGAGTGAGAGAGAGGGTGAGAGAGAGGGTGAGAGAGAAAGAGTGAGAGAGATATATATATAGAGAGAGAGAGAGTGAGAGAGATATAGAGAGAGTGAGAGAGCGAGAGATTGAGAGAGAGAGAGAGAGAGAGATATAGAGTGAGGGAGAGAGATATAGAGAGAGTGAGAGAGAGGGTGAGATATAGAGAGAGAGAGTGAGAGAAAGAGTGAGAGAGATATAGAGAGTGAGAGAGTGAGATATATATATATATAGAGAGAGATATAGAGAGTGAGTGAGAGTGAGAGAGAGAGATTGAGATATAGAGAGTGAGTGAGAGTGAGAGAGAGTGAGAGAGAGAGATTGAGATATAGAGAGTGAGAGAGAGATTGAGATATAGAGAGTGAGAGATATAGAGAGAGAGAGAGCCCCGGTCCAAATATACAAAAAATACCAAATTAAACTGACAAACAAAATACTGTTTTCAATACATTTCTGCGAGCACCGGATCTTTTGAACTTTTATTAGTTCTTGAACATTAACAGAAAAGCAGGATTTTTTGACTTTTGCTTGTAAAAAAAACAAACTAGTGAGAAGTAGCCTGCTGTCAAAATAACCCAAAGGTCATCTCAATCTATCCATACTTCTAGTTTATTAATACATTTAAAAAAATCAAATCGTTCAAAGATATAGCAGCAAGTCCTCACATATAATTTGTGGAAACACAAAAAACAGACTCTTACCATAATCAAACTTGATAATAATTTTCCTGTCAATATCACTGACATTGAGTTGACTTAAATGTCTCTGTTCTGTCATTACTAGGGACTAGTCTGGAATAAAACATGTTTTGAGATAAATCTGCTTTGAAGTCTGACCTGGTTTGTTCCATCAGGTTCTCCCCCAGGATAGGATGACAACCTGATGTGTACAATCAGGAGTGAGATGGACCTGGATCTTAGTCTTTTAGACATTTCTCCTGTTAACATGGTGGTTCATGGAGCCCTGAAACCTCCATCATGTCAGACTCTGATTCAGCTGCTGTAGAGGAGAAGACAGCTGCAGAAAGGTGTCCTGGTCCTGGTCGCCCCCCTCTGGCAGAAAAAGCCCTGTCCGAGGCCTTTGCCCGGCTGAGGTATAGAGACACATCCCTGCTGATCTGGCAGCAGCAGCAACAGGACCTGCAGACAGCCCCTCCCTCCAACTACCTGAATCGCAGCCATTCAGCCTGGTACAGCAGCTTCGGGAACCAGGCCGTGGTGGTTCGGGACAAAAGGGGCCTGGAGGACCCAGGAGGAAGGTCCAAGATCTGCAGCATTATGTAAACAAGAAAACATGAAGCTGAACAGACTGAAAACTAAGACTAATTACAGCCTGGGGAGGTTGGTTCCTGTGTCGTTCCTGTGCAATTGGGTTGAGAGAGGACCTACAAATGGATCCGAAGTCAAAGTATTTTAACTTTTTTTAACAGTAGGAATAAATTTGGACTTGTGAGAAATGTTGCCTGAACAAAGTGTGAAGTCTTTATTACTGAGTCCTGAGTCAAGTTTAAAGTTTAAGTTTCCAATAAGTCAATTGCATGTTACAGGGAAGTTCCATACAAGGAGCAGTGTCCCAAATGAACAAGTCTTAATGAAACTCTGAAACTTTACCTCTTGAGCCCTAAACAAGTCATTATTGGAGTGTCTGCTGATCTGCAGGAACCTACACACCTTAACATAAAGCTCCACTACTAAATGGGCAATTGTCGGATTGATTTTCTGATATTTGGTTGGGAAAATGAGCTGACGGCAAGAACAATTATTTTTCACAACTATTAATCTTTTATTTTAGGAATAAATAATTTAATTCACAGCCAAATGTCCATGTAACAGGTGTTCAATTTTAGATGCTAAGCTTTGTTTTTACTGAACATTAAAGGAGTGTTTGAGATTTCAGAAAATGTAAAAGTATTGCTGACCTATCAACTGCATCATGTTATTGAGCTATGACCTAGTACTATAGTACATGTACATAAATGATGGTTGAAATCTGTTCTAAATGTAACCCACCTGGGATCACAGTATATTCAAATATATAATGGACCAGTGCCTAGGTTCTCAGGAGGGGTTTTTAAAGTAATTTGACAGACACAATAAGAACTGCAGCCACAGTATACTTTAAATTAAATATATATATTGAAAACAAAATATTCAGTTTCCCTTTAAACAACAGATAAACAGATCCCTTCAAAAGGTCTATTTTAAGCGTTGGAAGTTCCTTATGTTCTCCTTTAAAGGTCCCATATTATGCTTTTTCTGGTTTTATATGCTCTTTAGTGTGTTTTCTAAGTGTCCTGTGCATGTTTAGGCACATCTATGTGCAAAAATTCAAAGTCTGCGGAAACGCAGCTTCTCCTACGTCCTCCTGTTAGCTGTAGCATTAGCTGCATGTAACACTCGGTTCTAGCCCCCCTCGAAAAGAATTTTGCCAGTGTGACGGCTTGTCAGTGTAATATCACTGATGCAGCTCATGTTGCAGGCCCATTAACTTCTGTAGCACGCCCACGATATGCCGTAGCCTGCTGTAATGTTTTAATGAAAATCTAATGTTTTTGCTCCCTTTGGAGCCAAAGTGGCTGCATTCCCAATATGGTAAAAGGGGTGTGACATTTCGGAGAACCGTGCTGAGCGACTGCAGCTCAAATGCAAATGTACAAAAAGACAGCATTTATGCTTTTCCTAAAATGTCTGAACATTTGAAGTCTATTTTTTTACAGGGGAACTTTCTCTGCAGGAGGTGGACGGTCAGCTTTCAACAAGTTCTTTCACCTAGACAGGAAGGTGCCGTAAACAATGGGGGCCTCATCAGTGAGCACTCCCCATTGATCACCTACTGTCAGAAGTACAGGAGATGGATGCAAATGTAGAGCAACACCTTCCTATTGGCTAAAGCTCCCAAGGCTTCCTGGTCTCGAGGGGGGGATCAAGCCTATCAGAGGTCACCTTTGAAGGTTGTCAGATGTCAAGGAGGTGACAGCGGAACAAAAAGCTTTGATTTGGCATGTTAGATTTAAGAATTGTTATAATTATATTGGATTTTCCCACGGTCACCAGCAGCATGGTTTCTCCCTGTCGTGCTTTGAAATACTTGTATTAAAAATAAGTGATCATGATTTGTGTTTTTCTTTTTCTGTTGTCATGTCATAAAGTATCTATCATGTTGTGACCTGTCATGTCATAAAGTATCTATCTATCTATCTATCATGTTGTGACCTGTCATGGCATCTGACAGCTCATGAATGTGTCAAGTGTCAATATGTCAAGGCACGAGGTTGCTCAGGGTGTGACAGATGTCATATTTTATTATCAAAGTGTGAGGCAGCAATGTTGATATTCAGGAAAGTCATTATCGATCAATTAATGACCAAATTTATTTAAGAAAATGCCAAATTACAGGTTAGATTCCCCTTATAGTTCAACAATTTACTCACATCTCTGAAGTGCAAACAGACAGTCAGATTTAAACAGACTTTGTACAGTCAGTTACTGAAGAGAGAAAATAAACTATACACAGTATATACATTATATATCTGGTCTTTTTACATTCATCACATTTACAGTATTTACACTTTTTTTGGTATTTTATTTTTTACGTTATTTAAACAATACATTTTTACTTTATTTACACTATTTACAAAAAACTTCTATTTACAAACGGCCCCTCACTCTCTCACTTCTTCTTTGTGAGGATGTGAGGGGCAGGCTGGTGTGCAGTCCGCCGCCTCCCCTGTTGCTGCTGTTGGGCAGGTGGAGGGGCAGGCTGCTGGGGCGGTTGGAGCTGAAGAAAAAAAGAAATTGAAGAAAGAGAAATTGTGTCAGAATCATCATGTCACAAACTTGCAGCAATCATAAAAGGTTGATGTTACTGATTAAAGAAACAGGTCAATGACCCGGAGTGGGTCCTTGCTCCGCTTTTCCGCCAGCCAGGCCTCCACAGAGCGTCCCTCGGCCTTGGAGCAGAAGTGCTCTCCCCGGTAGCGACTTTGGCCATGCGCCTTGGTCTTGGGCAGGCCACAACGTTTGCACAGGAAGTGGTAGTACTGGTAGTGAGCAGCTGTGGAGGTGAAGGGTGTCCAAGGTGACGAGGCCACGGCGGACGCGGACGGGGCAGCGGCGGACCTGATGAGCTCGTGCAGCTCGGGTGACATTGACATGACATTATCCCAGATGATGCTGTAGTCCCTCATGACAGCCTCCCAGCGGTTCATTCGGGTCTCTGCAAGGGTGCATGCCTTATAGTGGATGCGGCACAGCTCCAAAAAAAAAAAAAAGGCCTCCACGTTGGGGACCCACCCCAACAGGGACCGGGTCCTCCGACGGGGTCTGAGGCAGCGCTGGAGACCACGGGGGCAGGCACAGGATGCCTGAGCTCGGCAAACCTGATGTCCCTCACATCGTCCTGCTGCTGCTCCTCCTCCCCCTCCTCATCCAGGTCCTCCGTGCCATCGGATCAGGATCCCGGCCTGGTTGAGACCGTTGACCAACCGGGCGTCGTAGAGGCGCAGGGGCACCCTGCACCCCTGCGCGGGCCCTGTTTTTGTTCCACCTCACCAGGCCCTCCAGCAGGTACACCTGGAGGTGGAGGGCATTGGCAGGAGACAGGAGAGAGAAAGAGACACAGTCAGCCAAACACACACACACACACACACACACACACCCCGCTGACGGGTTAAGGCATTTCACACTCACCATTGTGATGAAGTGGCACAGGTGGAGTTGGAACGACTCCAACGAGGAGGAGTGTAACGCTGCGACACAAACCCACCGCTAAATGCTATCCTTGTGCCTGACGCTAAGGCCAGTGAGCCCGTAACTTATTGCCTCTCCTTACGTGTTGCGTAAACGTTAAGGTATATCCTGCCTTAACTGAAGGTGTGTGCAATTGTCCTGTCTGTTTGAGGGTAGTGTGTAGGTGACTCACCGCCAAGATCCTCGTATGTGCCGCGACCAGCTCACTCGGACAGCCCAATCCGCGGAGTCACTTGGGTACGATCTCCTCCGCCAGCCCTCTCTTTCATATCAGTTTAGTTCATGTGCAAAAAACAAAAAGAAACGTTACTTCAGATTCAGTCTCTCAGGTGTCTTACGTCCTCCCATCTCCCTCGTTGCGTCTCTTCGACTCAAAACCAATTTTAGCCGGCTCCTCCGCAGGTGCTGCTAATGAAGGAAACAGAGACAGAGCCACCACACCCCCCTCAGGTGTGTCATCAGTACTGACCCTGCTTCTCCTCCTAATGCATTATCATAACATCCCTCCCCCCATAAATAAAAAAAAAAACACTACTAAATTGTGACACCAACCATTTTTCTTCTGTTCCTTTACCTTTCAGCTCTCACACACATATATACACTTCCTTTCCCTTAAAAAGGCACAAACCTCTGCTATTTTAACAGAACTATCAGTTGACCTCATCTTCCTCTTAGGAAGGAAATCACTACACTAGTGTACAAACTGAACTGGCAACTGACTGGACAAATGCTCACGTGGGCTCTCCTACTGGCATGCGAGACAACGTATCAGCCAAGATGTTGTCTTTACCCGCCACATGCCGTACAACCAAACTGTAAGGCTGCAACACTAGCGCCCACCTGAACACTCTCTAATTCAATGTTTTGAACTTTGCTAGAAAAAAGAGGGGATTGTGGTTCAAAAACACCACAACCTCTCGGACTGAATGAGACACATATACTTCAAAATGATTGACTGCAAAAACCAGTCCTTCTCAATAGTTGAATAAGCTTTCTGATGTTTGTTTAGCTTTCGAGAGAAATAAGCTACTGGTTGGTCTCGTCCAGCCTCATCTGTTTGTAGGAGCACAGCTCTGACCCCAAAAGCATCTATGGCAAGTTTAAAAGGTGCATCAAAATTCGGAGCAAGCAGCACGGGTTTACATGCCAAGATGGCTTTCAACCCTCCGAAGGAACACTCACAGGCATCTGTCCACACAAACTTCACATCTTTCTTCAAAAGGTTAGTCAGTGGCTCAGCAACCACAGCAAAGTTGGGAACAAATCTTCTGTAAAACCCACTCATGCCTAGCACTGTCATGACATCTCGTCGGTTTCTCGGTACCGGAAGATCAAGGATCGCCTCCACTTTTGCACGACAAGGCATTACCTTCCCTTGACCCACCTGATGCTCAAGATAGGTTACTTGTCCCTTCCCAAACTCGGGAGCATTTTTCATGACAAACGTAAGAACATTGCAAATATACAGACCATCCGGTGTCACAAAGGCTGAAATCTCCCTAGCCTGGGGAGTCAGAGGCACCTGCCAATAGCCTTTCAGTAGGTCTAACTAAACAACCTCTGCTCCTCCGATCCTGTCTATGCAGTCTTCAAGTCTGGGAATTGGAAAGGCATCAGCCTTAGTCTGCTGGTTTACTTTCCTGTAGTCAATACAAGGTCTTGACGTATTATCAGATTTTGGGACAAGTACCACTGGAGAACTCCACTC